AATATGTTAGTTGTTATTTAATATACATATTTCCTATTGATATCTTTATTTGTTTTACTATTTTTAGTGATTTCAACTTTGTTATGTTTTTAATTAACTTTAAACTTAAGCTTACAAGTAATTTATTTTTATTTAACCTTACTGCTTTTATATATAATTGTAATCATAATTCTTTTGTTTTAAAATTAACTACAGATAAAACTTATATTAATTAAATATGCATAGGTATCTATATGAATTTTTTATATTATTTCCATGATCTATAAAAAATTAATACACCATTTTTTTTGTTTTTGTTATATGGATCAAACTTGTATAAATTGCGATAAAAACAAATCAAGTAAATAGATGAGTCACGTTCCAAAATCGTGAATGTATCGCGCACATGGCAACAGAAAACGTGAAAACAAAACTGAAAACATGAAAGAACAACAAATTGCAGTCAAAAAAAAAAAACAAAAACAATTAGGTACTCTTTCCATCGCTTTAAGATATAAATACGAGTTTCTTTGCGAGCTAATTTTTCGTTGGTATTAGTGTTAACAGTTTCAATGAAAACGGAGAATTTGAAAACAGCTGTCAAAATGTACAGTCGATCACGTGAGTTTTTAAAGAAACAGGTAGACTGAAAAGTATGCGAAATCGAAGAAAAAAAGAATATCTTACATCAATGACAAAAATAACCAAAATTGAAAAAAATATGGAAGAATTTTATGGGTACAAGCGCCTAAATTTGTTTTTGATATTAAAGCAAATATAAAAAATGGAAACAATGGAAATGAAATGGTTTAAATGTCAGGAGGAAAGCGCTTGTAGTGAAGAGAAACACAAACTAGTCTTAAACCGGAACAGTTGTTATTGTATAACGATTAGAGATATTGGCTTCTGCAGCTAATTAACATTACTTCAGATTGTGTTTATGTGAATTTGTAAATACTCACATTTATTAAATACAAAAATATTTGTACAAAAATTTGCTAATTAATTTATTTTTCATTTTGTATTATTCAAAGAAAACATGGTGCGATTTATTTTTTTTTTTTTTTTGTGTAAACAACAATTGCTTTTACCACCGTTATGAGCAATATTTACTTTATACAAAAAAGAAAAACAAAATGATAAAACCCCCCAACACATATTTACGTAGGAGCTGTTATCTTATATAATTCTTATCAAATCTAATATTATTTAGAAAGTAAAGCATTTCCTGCAAAATAACCAACTAAAAAACAGATATAATATTTATGTAAGAGAAGTAAGTACGATTACAAAAACTATTAAAAAATACACATATGTATATTATTTTCAATATGGGAAGTATATCCAACAGTTTATAGGAAAACATATTGTTATTATAACTAAAAAGCAACAATAAACAAATAATTGGATATTTTTTTACTATCGATGCTTATTTAATTTACGATTATGTAGAAAATAACGATAAGAATGAAAACAACAATATTTATATTAAATATATGATAAACAACAATAAACCATTATTGTGCGTAATTATGCAAATATAGCCAGTTTTCTATATTATTGTCAGAAATACAACATAAGCAAAACTGAAAAAAAATCCTATATTAATGACGTATAAAAAAATAATTTATACAATTTTGGAATCACAAACTAAGAACGTGAACACTTATAAATATGTATATTATATACAAAAATATTTGTAATATTGCATATAATTTATATGCACTATAGGAACAGACATATAAAAATTAGCTTAAAGTAATTTAAATCTATTATGAAATTTTCTCATTAATACCAAACAAAGCCTAGTTAAACCGGAAAGAATTAAAACAATTAATCAGAATTCTTTTGCCATACGAATTATAAATTCTCTAGTTCAGATGAAAGATTTAGGTAGTTAATTACCATAAGGAAATTGTTAAAGAACCATCTATTTAGTTTAAACGATGTATCGATGTATTTTAACCCATAAAATGTTTTTACAAATTCATTTAAACATAAAATTAAACTATATTAAATAAAATTCGAACGAAAAAATTAATTGAATACTGTGATAAATTTATATTTGATTATTTTATAACATTTAATATACAAATTATATATAAATGCATATATACTTATGCATACGTAATTTGATTTGTTGCTATCTTGTTACACATGCAGCTTTGCTGAATTGCATATGCCATTTGCGTTCAGCACTTTTCAATTCCGTCTGTTTACATTTTGACTAGTTACTGGTCACTGCATTAGCGCATGAACAAGCACATGTTTCAGAGCATCTCCCCACCCAGCCCACACTTTTCTTTCGATAAATGTAAGTAATGAAAACGAAACATTTTTTCCATGGAACTTACAAATAAAATTTTCCACACTTGTTTTATGTGGATGGCCTAGAAATAAGTATAGGCTAATCCACCATGTAAAGAGAGGAAAGCCCAAATAAATGCAATACATTAATTTTCTTACTGCAGTGAAAATTCAAAATAAAATCAACTCAAAGTTTAATAATTTAATTATGCGATGCGTCATAGTTTATTTAATGTCTACAGACTGTCTAGTCGCACTTTTTCATTGTAGTGATTTGGGAAATAAGTTTATTATACAATATGTATATATACATTTATAAATTGTAACTGATAAGAAATTAAATATGAAGAATTCAAATCAAAATAAAGAAATAAATTAAATTGTAAATAAAATTTAGGAAGAGCACAATGTCAACATCATGCAATGAGTAAGTAATTAAATAAAATCGTGATTAGTAAACAAGTCGCAAATGTATCTATGATTCAAAATTTCAAATTTATATACCATATATATATTTATAAATTTAGGGGTTCGTAATCTTTGAATGAAAAGTACTTAAGAAAATTTATAGATCCCTAAAACTCAAACATAAGATCTTCAGCATTCGCTACAACGTCAAACTAAAGACGATACCTAGCAAAGAAATTATTATTAGTTTTGTCAAAGTATGGCTAGATCACATTATCCATAATTGAAATATATTGACTCTATAGGTACAAACTGATTTGTATCTATTTATTTATTTGATTTTTTTTTGAGTAAATTGAACGCTCAAAAATAGGAAATACCTGCAACCCAAGAAAAAGAAACTACGAATTTTGATGGTTCCAAGAACCGCTGGGTGTACGTCCCTGAGCCACTCGTCAAAGACGATTAAGTGCCGTTCAACATCCCCCAAAGCAGGTATGTGTTTGTTTGACAACGAATTTTGATAATATTGCGTACATAAATTGTAATTAGATTTTAAACAATATATTTATATTGTATTTTAAGTAATCATTTTATACAATATAAGGATAAAAAGTTTTGAAACTACTGAAAAAAATTTTAACGATTATAGCGACTGTGTGTGAAACCATTTATAAATTATTAATATCAAAACATTAACAGTAGCAAAGAATATTTTATATTAAATAGTATAGTCAAAAATTTAAATTATATTTTCTAAGAAAAAACTTTAAATGATTCATAAACTTCGTGTATATACATTGCTTAAAATCTGTATAAAATTATAAAACAGTATTCATTAGCGTTGAGCTGAACATATTATCACATAAAAGTATTCTTTGCTTAAAAATTCGATATAGTAATGTCGAAAATCAAAATATTTAAAAAATTTATGAATTTTAAATCAAATGCAGAACACTATACAATATGTTATATATACAGACGATTTAACTATTGATTTTTTTGAGAACAAGTTATTTAACAAAATTAAGTTTATAATTAAATACATGTTTTCAAATTTTTAAGTATTTATATATATATATTAATATAAACAAATAATTTAAACTTACCAGCAAAACGAATTTTTATTAAGTCCAATGGATGTAGAACCAGAGTTGATGTAACACCTCCAGATATGCCTGCTACTAAATGCTCATATTTGACATGTGAGAAGACATTATATTTGCCTAGACCTTTCGGTGTTATTGTTTTTGAATTGATTGAAGGCATTTTTGAATTTTTTAATTTGTAACTTCTTATATAAAATAATTTTCAAAATACGTATAAAAATAAATAGCGGAAATGCTTGCTCCTTAGCTCTTTTAAGCTTAATAAGTGCTGTGTGTGAATTTTATTTTTGAGTAGACGAGATATCACTTTATAGTGTGTATTTCCTTATTTCCGGATAATGTTTTTGCTAATTATCCTGGTAATTTATTTTGTATTATTGTTATTAACAATTTTATGATCAAAAATTTACTTCGTACATTTGTGCGCGTAATTTTTGTTGATATTTTTGTTTGTTGATTGACATACCAAAAACTATAACTGCTACTAAATTAAATTCTTTGGTCTTAGAAGCAAAAATATATTATATATGGTGGTGATGCTATTTAAAATTGTAATCAAAGAAATCCCTTAATTTTAGTACAAATTTCTTTGGCTAAATTTTCGGAATTGCAACTAGATTCTTTGTTTTTGTGTTCTAAAAATTCGTTAGAATTTTTAATGTTTATTCCACTCGTAGACGCGCTGTACATCTTCCTCTGGTATAAATTGTTGCTATTCTTATATATATTTTTCTTTTTCAAATTTCTAATTTTTCCGTTGCTTTTCAATGGTACACACCGTACTTCTCATGTGTGTCTACTCAAAAAGATGATGAAATAACACTAAGCGAGATAGACAGCTGATCCGTTTTATTTTATTTTATGACTTCGTTTTTTTTCCAACTTTTAATTTTGTTTCAAATTAAAATTATCTTTTCATTTTTTCCAGTTTGTTTTGTGCTTTTCTTTATTATTCGCTTATGTAATTATTATTTTGTACTTTTTGCCATCACTACTTTACTGATTCATATATATTAGTTGTTAAAGATTTATTCAACTTGTTTTGAATTCTTCACATATAATTTTTGTTAACTTCACAAATTTCTAGCCTCCGAACTTCTTTAGTCGACCTACCACACTCTATAACAAAATTGGAATGAACGGAACAGAATAAACGTAATCGAATTCGCACAAAAAGTATGCTACCGAAGTAATTTTCTATACCAAATAATCAGCTGTCAAATAAAACAGGTATGTATGGGGTAGTGTTGGATAACACTTTTTTATTGTGTTTAGTACTTACAGTTTTCAGTTCTATATGAAGCTTTATTTTGTAATGCACATTACTTTTTAAAATTTGATATTTTAGGACGTGTGCGAGTTAGGCTAAGTTGCGTTCTAAATGAGGGAAATTCTAAGTTGAGCCGATAATGTAGTGATGTGTCGATACGTGTTGATCAATGGCTAAATGTGTGCAGTGCAAAAAATCCCAAAAAATCTCCCATTTGGTTTAGC